GCTCGGCCGAATTCAATTATTAATTAAACGCGAGCGCGGAGTCGGCTTGAATTCGGCCGCTCTCTTCTCGAATTTGTCGAGCGATGAACCGGCAATTTGCACGGATTTCAGCCGCCCTTGTAGATCTTCCGAGACGAGCCTCGGCAGCGTTTATTAACGAGGGAAGTTTCTGTGATTTTTGCGGGACTTCCGTGGAATTGTTTGCTCCACCGACAACGAGAGCTTCGGCATTTGCTTGGGGATGTTTTTCCGTTGCTGCGGGACGTCGTTTTTGGCGGCGCTTTGTCAGTGTGTTTTGTCGCTTGTAAATTGTGGAGAACATCGAGAGAATAGGGAGGCACTGTCAACGACGGTTTTGGTATTTGTTTGGGGATGTCTTTTTCGTCGGAACTTTGTTTGTCGGTGTGTTTTAGCTCGAAAATTGTGGAGAATATCGAGAGAATAGGAGGATACATTGTATCTTTTCGGTGGTCTGTAAGAGAATATTTTGGAGAGAGCAGTTTTGTTCGAGGGATGCAAGTTTGCGTGAAAGAGGAACTGATTAAGGGGTGGTTTTTTAAAGGGTAAAAGTTGTGTCAATTGAACGCAGTAATTTTTGGGATAATTTCTAAAGTCGAAGTGTTCTTCTATACTTGTGCTTCTCCCGTTCGCGTTACCGTTATACGTCCAGCGTTGCGTTCATTGCGTTTCGCGCATTCGGCCGAACCATAAATCACTCACACAGTTAGAAAGTGAAACACATGTTCCTCGGATTTTCTACTTATACGTTGCACGTCTCTACGTTTTGCCCTGACAAGTAGATATTCATAGAATTTTTATTGTTGCAGAAATTTATGTTTGACGAATTCACAGGGACAGAGGCCTACTCTCTTCGCCGGCTGTCCAAAGTTTTCATTGTAACTTGTTCACGTCTATCATGTTGATTTATTAAAACTAGCTCTTAGCCTTGAGTAGAGCGTCCTCTTTAGAATGATCTACGAAAGTCTAATTTCGCATAAACCTTCTTCATCCATCGTTTTCTCATCTCAGTATGATTGCGCAATAATCTATGCAAATTTCATTTTCATTTATTTTTATTTATATTCGAGCTATCAATGTTTCCTCCGAACGTAGTCAATGTTCTATCGTTCTATAGATAAGATTGACTACCCAACAAAATTATCAACCATTAACACCTCGACTGCCAAGATGATTTCAAGGGTTTCAAATAATATTACTTAATCGTCCACAGCAAAGATGAACACCATTAAAAATGATCGACAATTTATTATCTTAATTTAGTAACCAAGCACAACAGTTCTTGCGTTACACCATTACCTACTTTCCCCTCAAATTACCAAACACGCCACCGCCGAATCAATCTTCCTATTCCAATTACTCCAATCAATTCTAAAAACTCCAGCCACCAGCGACAACAGTGAGCCGACACGCTCGCAGCCAGCGTTACCTTCAGCGGCAATCTTCATAATCACAAATTCCATTAAGTCCAACAGCTCATCTCTACAAAACGGAAATAAAATCCAGCAGAAAAATCTCAGCGCCTCTCGCGTTACGCAATGCGTTCCAATTTTCATACAAAATCACGCGTGAAAGTAACTCAACACGTTCGCATCAACCTCAATCTTCACAGTTCCGATACTCGATGAAACGCAGGAATGCCGAATGAAATCCAACTAAAATTCAACAAAGAAATCGTGCACCTTTACAACGTTAACTACAAACACACGTGAAAGCAACCGAATTTCCTGAACCGAAGCTGCAAAATATTGATCGTCACAACTGCACGACGCCAATCTCGAGCGCATTAATTTTCCTCAAGCTATAAATCGTTCGAAATACAAATCGCCGGTCGCGAAGGTATTAAGGAAAAACCGGTGAACCCGCAGCGGCGTGAAACGGTGTCGATCCGAACACCGCTACCCGCCGTTCTCCTCCTTAATTTTTATCGGCGACTCGAGCGAGCGGTTCCAAATATAAACCCCCTGCTCGGTGCGCGCCGTGCCATCCATTCCCGGCCCCGTCGCGTCGGGGAGTTTATTTTCTATGGTCCGGCGACACGTGCGCGCGCGAGATCATCACCAGCCGCCTCGTCCGAGAGACTTCGCGGAAGCCTCTCTTTAGCCGTGTGTTTTCGTATCTCGCGGGAAACAGCGTCCGACGTTCCTCCCGGGGTCGAGAGGTCGCGATTCCGGGGATCCGCCTCGAGTCGTCGCGCGTTTGTGCTCGGTCGAAAGTTTTCGGGCGTCGCGACCATCACGCTCCGTCGTCCCGGAACATGAGAACGACCGCGGCGGACAGCGAGCGGCGCACGGAAAAACACTGAAACCGTTCGATCCGCTCTTGGAACGGGAAGGAGAAGGTCTCACGAGGATGTCGAGGATCTTCCGGAAGATGATCCTCTGCGGATGTTCGCCGAGGTCGGACGTCGAGGGCCAGACGTTCGTCGTCGACGAGTCCGTGGACGGGGACGAGGACGATACGTCAAAGTCGGACGAGTTTCCGGCGGCCGAGCAGCGGCCGGAGGCCGAGGACGTCGCGAAACACTTCGATCTGTCCGCCATTAAGTTCATAGACGACGAGGAGCCGGACGACGACGGCGGCTCCATCGTGAACGCCGGAGGTCCGGAAAGCATGTGTGGAAATTTGTCGATGTGCACGGGCTGATTAGGAGTCGCGCGACGACGGGAAACGTGGACTGTTTAGAGGGCAATTCGGTTGATTCTATTCTTAGGATTTCGTACAGTTTTCGCGGATGGAGCTCTTGATTGGTTCCTGATCGAGTCTTTAGGATTTTTCGTCTTCCGTTTGGGGATCGTGGGATGATGAATTATCGTTCGTGGGGCGATTCGATTGACTCCGTTCTGAAGATTTCGGTTGAAGTCCGATGGCGAAAGAGTCGGTTGTTAATCTGCTTCGAGTTCCTTTGATCTCTCGACGACGGAGTCGATTGCTCTGGCGAACGAACTTATTTGTAATGGCTCGTCTAGAAGACTAAGTAGGAAGTAGAGGAAATATATTGTATAATAGAGTGCAGAATAAATGTATTTCTACTCGAGTGGATGGTATGGAGTTACGTGTTTCCCTGTGACGCTCCGTTCTCGAGATAACCGTAGTGATTCGTTAGCCGCGCGTGCCGTTGAATACGAATTAGATAATGCGCCTATTCGTAATTCAGGGGCCTCGTTCGTTGTAAATTTCCGCGGTTCAGGTGTCAAGCATGGATCCGAGGTCGATTATCTTTGAATTTTACCGCATGTTCCGCCGTTTATTTTTCCGTGTCGATTGCTTCTCGGTTGCACAATGGTTTCAAGGAACACCCCGTACGCTCGTACACCTCGCGTATCGCGTTACCGCCTAAGCGTGGACATGTAACTGCACTTCGCGGCGGTTCTAGCCGATTAATCCGATTGATATTGTGTGTTTTTCTCTGCGCAGAGTTGGACGGCTTCAAGGCTGGCCGGGTGCGAAAAGCTTGGGTCATCGCCGTCGAAAGGTAATTAACGGGTTCGTTAGTTGGCTCGGACGCGAAAGTTTTGTCGGTTTGGCGGCCGAGAATCGTCGGGATATGGATTTCGCGTATTCGTCGCGGTCCGAGTGGAACGGATCGCTGTGCGAACGTTGCGAAGAAGTCACTCGGTTTTATCGACACCGATGTTTATTGGCTTTCTTCCCGATTTTTCGTTTCCATTGTTTCGCCGATAGCGCGGCAACTGCACGCGAGGGGAGTGGAACGGTTAATGAAATATTTATGCAGACGGAGGGACAACGGATCGAAATGTTAAAGAGGCTGATTAAACCGACAGAACTTTCGCAGCGTACATTAACACTTCTCTACCCAGAAATCAATTAACTCCCTTAGAACGTCGGAGTCGTAGAATAATTATCTATGCCACTTAAGTCCGTTTTAATTACGCCGATTGTTCCTGCTCGAAGCGAAGCTCTTGTATCATTTATTAATTACCGTTACCGGAACAACATCAAAGTCTCTCCGCCATCGCGTTCGTTAATGGCTCTATTAAAATCGCGCAACCGTAGTCTTTCTTTTCGATCGCGGTGTCAATGAAACGTAACAAGCGCGAGCCACGACAAGACGAAAAAAGAATACGCCTTGTGCATCGTACTCGATCGGTGTACCTACAAAGAAATCCTGATTGCCAATCCACGGGTTAATAGATTCTTTTATGATTAACAAGGATCCCATTAATTCTTCGTCGAACAGCAATTAGACAAGAATTACGCGTCCCCGGTGTTATTAGCTTCCGATCATAATTTAGTAGACCGAGATTGGAAAGTTCACCGATCGGTGGACGGGCCCGTTAATCGTTAGTTCTAGGAAGCCTGTTAAATAACCTCCGCTAGGTAAATTGTTAAGTTTAACGCTCGAGGTGGCTCCGTAACGGCAAGGGGAACGTTTTCTCCGTTCCAGGCGCGCCGAGGAGAGGCTGAAGAGACTGGCGTCCCATTGGAAGATCCAGCCCCGCGATATTCAAGCGATACTGCAGCAAGAGGTAAGCGACTGTAACGACCGATCGTCGGGAAGCCTGGCTTTTCCAGTTCGGAAAGAAGATTCCGCTGGCCTTTCACCGAGTCGGATCAACGACTATACTTACGTAATCCCATAGAAATACGCGAATGGGGGTCGGTATCGTGAAACGAATCTGCCCGGTGGCACAGATGATCGCGCCGAGGAAGAGACGATCGGCCATTTGTCGATCGACGTTCCTCGCGATTCTTCGCTTGTCCCTCGTGTAGACACAGCCAGCGACGTTTATGTTCTGTTTCCACGGAGAAACAAGTCTCCATCTGTTGATACTAGAATACAATGTCCGAGGTTTTACCTTTAATAATGGGGATTGCTGTGTTTGCCATTGGAAAATCGTTTGTAGCTCCGGTTTCTATAGAGTCTGAAATATTGGACGTTGGAGTTGAGAAGTCTACAATATTAAGAGCTTACAAAACTAAACGTTAGAATGTCGAATATTGGAACTTAGTTAAAAACATTTGAATCGCTGCGTTTGCTATTGGAAAATCGTTTGTAGCTCCAGTTTTAGTAGAGTCTGAAACGTTAGATGTAAAGTATTGTACGTCGGAGTTTAAAGTATTGGACGTCGGAGTTGAGAAGTCTACAATATTAAGAGCTTACAAAACTAAACGTTAGAATGTCGAATATTGGAACTTAGTTAAAAACATTCGAATCGCTGTGTTTGCTATTGGAAAATCGTTTGTAGCTCCAGTTTTAGTAGAGTCTGAAACGTTAGATGTAAAGTATTGTACGTTGGAGTTAAAGACATTAATCATCAGAACATTTTTACAGTCTGCAAAACTAAACGTTAGAATTTCAGAAATTACACCGAAGCTTAACACATTAAACGTTAACATTCCAAATTTCACGCATGAAACTCGACGGAGCCAGACATTAGAGTCCGCAATATTAGAAGTTAGGGTCCAAAGTCTACGTCCAGAAATGTCCTAGAAACAACCATCAACACCCATTAACCTCGCGCCTGCAATCCCATGGCGCCGTCGCGCGTTAATCCCCCGAACATTCTGAGCACCTTCGATTTCTCACCGGCGACAAAGAGCATCGACATCGGCGCAAGCCGCAGAATCCGAACGTTCCCCGACACCCCGCCCGCGGCAAACGTCTCGATCCCCCGCACAATGGATTTGGAATACAGAAAGCTCAATTACCTGCCGGCCAAAGCTCAGACATACCAACCTTCTGGCGAGTCGACACGCAGCATAAACGATCGATTCGCGCGGGCACTTGTTCCCCGTGGAGGACAATGACGGCGGAGCGCGAGATAAACCACGATCCTGGCCATTGTATTCAATACAATTAGTTCCTATTCCGTCCGCGTGCCGCGGCTCGGTATCTATCGGACATTCTAATCAGAAGCGCGGCGAGGTCCCGCGGATTCACCGAGGTCCCCGCGTCACCGGGTCGCGGGTTGATCGTTTACGGAGGCTGCTTATGATATGCGGAATGCGAGGCAAATGATTCGCGGTGAGCGGCGGTCGCACGATCATGCGCCGCGTCCTTGGACCCAGCGCCGGCACCCGCAGGTTGCCAGCGATCATCCACGGATATTCCACAGGTTGCACCCGAAAAACGCTTTTCACCGGTCCCACCTTCCTTCCTCCGGCTTTGTTTCACCTGACACATTGCGTGCCGGTGACGAGGAATCCCGTTTTTATATAAAGACACTTAGCTGTGCGATTTCGCTGATTATCACAGCATTGAGAAAAAATATGAAATTTAATTCGAATTGGTTATCTGTTTAACCCTCTTCGGGCCGGATTTTGTTTGGTGATTATAACAAAATTTATTTTAGTATGAAATTAATAAATAGCATATGAACACAAATTAACAGTGTATTCAATAGTTTTAATAATTTTATTCAAACGAATATATTTTGTAACTTAAGTTACAGCGACGTTGAACGTAAACGCCTGTGTACAAAAGTTTAAGTTGAATAATTATTTAATGTCATTCGTCATTCTGCAGTAAAAAATTAACAAATCGATTTAATCCAGTATATTGATGTGCGACTTCAAAGTCACACGGGCCTGTAGAGGGTTAAAATATATTACATAATATGATATTTGAGTTTCTCTATGTATATAAGTTGACCTCAATGAAAATTGCCATCCGCATAATTTAGTTTCCCGAAAATTAGCCGGTACGCAATGTCTTAATCGTGGAATTTCATTTGAAAAGTTTCTCGTTTCGCGTTCGATAAAATCGAAGGATGAAGCGCGTACTCGTCAGACGCAGGACGAGCGCACCTGGGATATGGTTTAGTGAAACACTGAAGCCGAACGAAGGAGGTGTACTTGTTATACGCAGTTAATTGGCTCAGGTTCCTTGTGGCTCGGGGATTGGAAAGAATATCAGGAATGTAACTGTTTGAGTTTGTCGTATATATGAAGACCTGTACTGAATATTTGCGAAAATTCATTTCGAATTTCAGAATTTTCATTTTAACGTGTTATAGTCGATCACGTAATTGTCTAAAGTGAATACTATTTTGGATTTATGAGTTTTGTGAGTATCCTTACTTCACGAAGTATTTGTTCAAAACGTGAAAATTTCAGAATCGAATTTTAATTCCGAATAAGATGGCCTGATCGCATTAACATTATCAAATATCTGTATTTTCAATTGTTTCTTACGCTAGGTCAACAGGACGCGTTTAATTCAATTTTATAAACATTATTTGGCAAACGTTTACGTTCATTCTAATTGACACGGTTGCACGAACGCGTATCCCAATTACCGGTTTTTAAACGTCCAATTCCCAAGATCTAAGTGAACGAACATCAATTTTTCTAGCAACGATAGAATAAACTATACAGTAAATGTCAGTAAACCTAGTGTTAACGGTGTACACGATCATACACAATGGTACATGTGATTGAACAGGCATGGGCGAAATATAATCTGGCGACACGTCGTTAGGGATGATTGAAATTTGCCGTTTCATTCGATTGTAGCGCATCTTTTGTAATCTTCGGTTGCTACTGAGCCATCATTGAAGCTGGGGTGGTTGTATTATACTTGATACTGATTAATGATCGCTGCTAGCAATTTGCGATAGAATCGATAGTTGCGTTTTAATCGGTCTTAAGCTCTCATGCTTCCAGCGATTATGTTCCTGCGTCGATGGTCAACTCCAAGGTATTTTTCCTTAGATCCCCGAGTTACGCAACGGCTACAAAGGAATCTAGGCAATCCGTCGCGTTACGCAACTTCCCTGAAACTCTAAATTTTTGAAAAAAAATGATCGTAACCGAAACGTTGATCGAGTAACACAATTAACTTCAAAATTTCTCGTTTACGATAAATTTAGAGTGTCCCTGAGAAATGCCCAGTAAAATATAAAATCCCCAAAGCACAATCTTTTGCAACGGCTACAAAGGAATCCAGGCAATCCGTCGCGTTACGCAACTCCCCTGAAACTCTAAATTTTTGAAAAAAAATGATCGTAACGGAAACGTTGATCGAGTAACACAATTAACTTCAAAATTTCTCGTTTATGATAAATTTAGAGTGTCCCTGAGAAATGCCCAATAAAATATAAAATCCCCAAAGTACAATGCTTTGTGATATTCTGTATAAATATCATAATTTCATTTGGCCAACGACACTGTCGAAAATTCGAACTCGGTAATCAGATTATCCACATTTTACGCAACCCCGGAAAAGCTTTCTCTGGCCAGCGAATCCCTTTGTCTCTCCCCGAACCCCTTTGCCAGGCAACGCGGCTCTCTGATCGTGTACCCGCGGTTCTTCTGTGCAGATCAACGAGTCGGCCGCGTCCACGAGCGGGGACAGCGCTGGCAAAAATGTGACGGGCAACCAAATTACCGTGACGCTTGCCGACAAGTAAGTGCCATTTCATTCTCGACGGTTCTTTGCTTTCGGGACGCCTACCCCTGCTCGCGCGTCGCCTATTTCTCTTTTCCACCGCGGGCCGATGCAGCGGTTTTCACGTGTCGTTCGTAAACCGTCGTATTGACTGTTAAACTTTAACGGAGGATCGCGAGAGACGCGTGTTGGCGGACCGTTATCCCCTTCGTTAATATCGAGAACACCGAACGGTTTCTGGATTATTTTCTATATATTATTCTTTTCAAATTGATCGTCTGCTTTACGATAGTATTGTAAAGGGAGTTGTAAAGATGAGAGGAATTGGTAAATATATTTATTGACCTCGAACAATCAGTCAATTTTATACAAATGGATCTTTCTGATTTCTATTAAGAATTGAGTTTTATTTCTTCAATGTTTGCACTCGAGATATGATTCTCACTTAATCTGATGTAACAGAATTATAAAACTATATATAATATTAAATTTTGTGTATCAATTTGTGAAACATTTAAAGATCGCTTTCTTATTAATTGAAATGTTGAATATATCTGTTTATGTTTATATCGGGTTATGTTTAGCGGAAAACGGTCATTCGCTATTTCTTTGTTCAAACGTTTTCCGTTCGGAAAAATCACGCGACACGCTAATCGACGTCCATTATTTTTGTTTATTTCCATTATTATCACGTCGACCGACGAGGACGCGTTAACGGTTCCGATCCGTCACGGGAATCGTCGACGCGTGCGCTCTGCAGCGTACGGCGAAACGTGAAAACTCGCTGCGTAACCGATGGGAAGTGCAATTACAGGCCGGATGCGAGAAATTGCGATTGGCGTGATTGATACCCCATCGCGCCGCAACCGCGCATACCGCTCGTTGTTTTTGTTCCGGTGGCATCACCGTGTCAGAAGTCAATGCCGGTTCACCGTGTTCCGCGCTGCCCGGCGCGACGCCGCTTCTTCGCCAGGATTTACGAACCGTTCGACGATTTCTATTCTCCTCCTCGTAAACACCTGATCATTAAACATTCGTCTGCTGCTCGAAGGCAATCATTCACGGACGTGTCTTCGTCGAGGTTTTTTATTTAAAAATGTTAATTCCCAGTTGACATTGACAAATCGATCCTCCGGAACGCGCGGGTACCGTTTCAACCGAGACATTCAGATTTCACGAATGAACGATTCGCGGATTTGCGAAAACTATTTCCTCCAAGGGGCTGCTGCGAATTGTAATCTTAATATTGCGCTCGACATTCTTTTAACTAAGTAGGAGATATAAACTGTTTCAGAAATAAAATCTCGAAAGATCATATATGTCCATACGTAGACTATTAACTTTAGACCACTGCTCGAATAGTGTCATCCATCTGCCAATTTCCCTCAAACGCGAAAATAATAAAAGCATTCAAAGAACGTTGAAATATTAAGATTACGATTCATACTGTTACGCTCTTATCCCCATTGAGGATGACACATTTCACAACGATTACCCGCTTTGTCCCAGGGAGCCAAGTTCGATCACCCCGAAGCTCAGCAACGGTACCATCCCGAAGGGCCTTGGGAAGGACTCGATCGAGGGAAAGGACGCGCTCGAGAAGCCTCAGAGCCACCCGGAGGAGACGAATCTTTTGGTCAGTCTAACGACATTTACCCTATTCCCCATTCCATCCCCTCGAACCGATCAAAGGCTGAACCGCGTCGGGGAGACGGATCCCTCGGGCGACGAGTGTCAACGTGCGCTCGCTCGTGCGCGCTCGGTGTTTTTAATATCCTTGAAAGCGACTGTGCCTCCTCCCCACCCCTTCTCCTCCCCGTCTTTTACACCTTCCGCGTAAAAATGATTTCTCCTTCGCGGCGCTTATGTAAACGCGGCCGAGCGCGAGATTGGTTGAGCGTGAAGCAAGCATTTCCCGGAATCGCAATTCGTTGTCCGTGCCTCATTCCTGCATAATTAATCCGCGAGGTTACGCGGCGAAGAATGCATTCTAATAAAAAGCCGGGGAACATAGAGGGACGGGCGGCGAAGGGGGTCGAGGGGCGGGCGGAGCGAAGATGAAAAAGGGAAAAAGAAAACGTTTAATCACGCTTAACCGCGGTCTAGTGATCGACCGCCATCTGGCGCGCGAGCCGTCGCGAAGGTTTGTTCGTGGGTAAAGAGTGTTTCGTTTGACGATTGTCCATGCTTTAATAAGTTAGCAGTCGAATCAGCATTTAAATCGCACACAGTCCAGAGAATCCTTTCAGCGAAATGGGAACTGAAACGCTGCGGTTTTCTGCAACGATTGCTCTCTTGATCTTGCCACGTCTCGTCGATCTAATCGAGTTCGGCTTTTTTGATCCGTCGCCGTGATGATTAATTAACGCGCTCGCGAGGAGGTTTATGCTATTCCAGTCCGCGCGATGAATATTCGTTCAAGTTTCACGGTTGGCTCATTGTACGTTGACATGGTTCGAAAGTAATACCGTTCTCTGCGTTTCCCACGTTTTCCATATTTTCTACACTTTCTACATTTTCTATATTTCCCTCAATTTCCTCAATTTCCCAATGTTCCCCATTTTCCGTATTCACCCTTTTCGGACAGACGAGTGGTTCGTAGATCGGCTTACCATTGAACATGTTAAATTCACCTGAAAATTGTGTTGCCTAAGTGACACGGTGGTCAAAGTGTCGGATGATCGAGGAACCCTCGCGTCTGGTCGGTGTTCCAGACACCGGTGCAGGGCGGAAGGGTCGGGGAACGGCGCGCCAGCAGTCCCTTCCAAAATGGCCAAACAGAGGTCCTGATCGGGGAACCGGAGGGCGGGCCAAGGTCGCCGCGGGGATCGACGTCGTCGGCGGTGAACGACGGCAATTTCCTGAATCAACCGGACGAACGTGACGACCAGAAACCCATTTGCAGGCGAGTACCAAAATTGAGCGGCGATCGATCCCCCCTACGTTCGCTCGATCTCATCTTTAACTAATATCCTCCCCCCGTTGCGTCTTGTTTGTTTTCTAGCTGCACAGTTGAATGCTATTAGACGGTTTTGTTCGTTCAATTGCGCGCACGGTTCCTTCCCCTACAACCTTACACGCGCACCGGCGGACTTTAATCTATCGTTTAATTACATTACCTTCGACTTCGAGCTTTCCTTTTTCTCACTGTATCGAACCTATAACGTTTAATTTCTTCCAGTAGAAATAAGAGCAGTTATCTCTCGTTCTATTCCTTTTATATGTGGCCACGAATGTGGGTGGAAGATGTCTGAAAGTGGATGTTAGCTACGGTTGCAAGGTATGCGAGGGATTCGTGTGTCGAACGTCTATAGAATTAAACAATAAACCTACTACAATATTCTTTAACAATATCAAAACCTTCAAGACGAACTTTACACAAAATGAACAAATCATACCCTCAACGAAATTTTAAACACCCGTATCGAACTTGCAACGGTTCTCTATAACAACTCCGATATTCACTCTAAAACCATGTTTACCACAAACTTCAAATATTCATAATCAAAGAACAACATGTTCTCTTCGATGAATATAAACTCATGCTTCTCCGACTCTAAAATCATCCAAAATTCCAACCCCTAAATTTCACTCGCTGCATCCCTTACATCGATTTCGATCTCTCCGATTTCTTCTAAGTCTGGTCTAAAAATTGCCTCGTCGAGACAAACGAAAAATTAGGTCACATCAGAAACCACCCCTCGGCAATTAAGGGCGACCATAAACGCAGTATGCGCTCGGAATAGCGAACCCGACTCCGATGCAGATCTCGCAGTTGCCTGCGCGCTGCACCGCTCTGGCCGCGCCTATCCTTGGCGTGTCGGTTGCATAGGGGACTCCGCAGGTGACTGTCAGATGTCGCGGTGTACGTGTCGGCCGGCCGTTGCCGCCAGGGATCCCCGTTATCGGGGGAAACCAGCAGACCCAGCCGGGTTTAGGGTTCTTAGGAATCAGTCTCGCCAGACCGACAGCCCCTCGACCGTTTTAATAGAATTTCACCGGGTCGGCCTTCGTACCGGGAGACGAATCGTCGCGGATTAATCCGCCGCGTCGCTGGCAGCGGCCGCAATTATAACGCAATAAAGATAATAGCGCTAATGGAATACCGTAATGCAATACCGTCGGCCGGCTCTCCGCAAAGTGCGCATTTATGGAGCTGCGGGGGATCAAAAGAGAGGCTCCGCCCCTTTTATTCGAGGATTCCCCGCGGTTGCTTCTTCGAGTTTCGAGATTTTCGAGGACCCCTTCCTCGAGATCCCCGGATCAATCCCACCGATCGTATTGTGCGGCATTTCGGCCGCCACTCGGGAATTCCACCCTTGAAAGTTGCTCGAGGGCGGCTCTCGCGTGGACAGTCCCATGATACTTGTAATACCGATTGATAAAGGATGCCCGGTGAATTATGAATTCTTCTTAGCGATCCGTGGAAATTGGAATCGAATCGTTTCGATAATACAGTTCAATCGTATGGAATCTGATTATCTTAAAAGATACCGCGTTTACGAATGATTGCTGTATATAATGATACAATAGTCTGCTCGCGAAGAATATTCCTGTAACAGTAACCTCTAAATCCTCGCGGAGACACGAACGATAAGGGATTCCTGTTACAAACGTTACACGAGAAATAACAGTTCCATATCTCGTAAGTTTGAAGTTCAAAGAACTCAATCCTCCCACGATTAAACAAACTTTCCCACTCGTTCAGCGGTTGCGGCATCGTTCCGATTATTGCCAACCGCAGGATTCGGTCGGAATGTCCGGGCGAGGGTCCCGAAGCGGCCTCGCGCCGCTTCTTTTCCGAAAACGAGCTTTGAACTTTTAATTAAAGGCGTGTCGCCCGGACTTGGTTTACGGGCCGGGTCCCGATAATTAATTTCTCGGGCGGGAGGATCGACCGGAGCTCACGGCTAGGTACGCTAGAATCTTCTACACTCTGAACCACGTCTTCTCGTAGTCACTTCGCCGGTATTTCACGCTCGTGACACACCCACCGGTCGGTCGGTGTGTAAGTGCAGCCTAAACAATGCGTTTTCCTCCGCGATGCACCGCCTCGTTTTATACCCAGCGTTTCCCAACCTCCTTCTTCTTCTTCTTCTTCTTCTTATGGCTTCCCGCGAAGTATGTATATTCGGTGAGGACTCTCTCCTTTCTTTCTCTGTCGCTGTTGCGTTGTAACGGAACGACCCGCGGCCAGGTCGATATCCATTAAACTTTCAACGAGATTAAAACAGTCGTTCGCGGGTTAATTTATCCGGGATTTCGGGGTGGGCGCCGGGGATTTATGGGCCCTGCGGGTCGCTCGCCGCGCGTTCATCGTGTTTGATGATAAATATTTCTCTATCAATGTCCGCTCAGATTATTATCCGCGGTCGTTGCTCGCCAGAGATCGGTCTCCGTTTTATTCACCGACCAGACGCGGACATTCGTTTTTACGACGGCACGGATGCACCGCGATTCCGATGCGACGGTAAATTGATTTTTCCCAGGGTTCCTCGGGATCGAGGTTTTCCCGGGATTATACGTTTTAGTTAGGCTACGCGCGTGTTCTCGCGCATCCTCGGGACCGCGGAGAGGAAGTGTTTCACCGAAGTTTTATTTTTCACGTTCGAAGTGAAAGTTCCCGGTTCCGTGCCGCGCGAGGCATTATCTTCAACGGTAAAACCGATTCTCTCGTTCACCGAAGTTTTAAGGGACTAGAATCTTTGAGATTTCGATCGGAATTCAGTTTTTAGGTAGTCGAGCGTGTCGTAAAGTACGGAAGGTGTTTTAGAAAGCGTGTTCTCGATAATGATCTGCTGTTTCCGGCTTGCGTTGCCAAAATGGCGGCGCTGCGAGCATCGAGTCTTCCGCGGAAAATTTTATTACGCTCAAAATGAAGAACACAAGGAATTTTCAAGTATATTAAACGATAGAAAATCGTGTACCTTATAAATGCATCGAAATTGCAATCTATAAATACTTTATACTTACCATTTGTTAATTATCGCAATAACCAATAATTGCAATAGCTAGTAATTGAAATAACGAAACGATGAGTTTGCGAAGAATCTAATCCGTAACGCACAGTTACATTAATTTCTCTCGCCAAATTTACAACGTATTCGTGCATTTATGTCCGGAATAATGAGAAAATGAAAGTCAGCCGGTTCCAGGCGAAGCCACCGAGCATCAAAGGGTCTGGGTTAGGAGGTGTTCACGGGACACCTCGTTCATTCATATTCTTTTCGAAAGCGGCTCCAGTAGGATGATATTCGCGAGGCGTGGGTGTCGAAACACGCGGGATTGGGAAACGCTGTCGCGCCGGCTTCGGATTCCTCCCTTTCTGCGTTCCTTTTCTTGCTCGCTGCCCTCGCGTTCGCCGTTCTTCTCGCCTTCTTTTACCTTCGGTTGTCTACTCGCGGACAGAACGACAGAGACGAATGGCGCGACGAGGCACCGCGCGAACACGAGGAGAGACGACCGAGTGGAGCCACTTCTCCTCGCGAGTAGCTAGAGTATACTGTTTTCTGTTAGCCGGCGGAGTGATCTTCAATTTTCGAAACGTCCTCTCGTTTTAACAAATTGCCACTTGCGAAACGATTATCTTGATTTTCCTGTACTCTGTATAGCGGTAATATATGAAACATGAAGTGCCTTTAATATCAGTATTTGTTATTTATCATTTACTCACCACTGTTATATATTATTTAATATTAATATTATTATTATTACTACTACTCGTCATCATTACTATTATTGTTACTATTATTATCATTACTACTACTCGTTATCATTACTATTATTGTTACTATTATTATTATTGCTATTACTCGTTATAATTACTATTATTACTACTGTTTCTCGTTATCATTACTATTATTATTACTATTATTACTATTACTACTACTACTCACTATCATTACTGTTATTATTATTATTCGTATTATCATTATTACTACTATTTATTACCAGATATCATAATTTCTTATTATTTCATCAATATCTATATCAATGCTAACTCTCGCGATCAGCAAAAAATCACGACACGAAGCACCGGCAACGCGAAATTTCCCAAAACTCGACTCGCCGAAGTCAAAACGAAATCTTCCTTACCCCCAAGAGAAGGGAAAGATTCTGAAGTTCTCAAGATTAATTCCGCTCCGTTACGTTCTTCAATTTCAAAAAAAAAAGAAAAAAGAAAAAAAGGAGGAGAACGAAACCTCTCAGTCGACCTACTCCAAAACGAAGGCGCACTCGCGGCCGCTCCTTCCCCGGGGTGGAAGAAAATTACCTTCAAGTTATTCATAGACGGCGCAGGGGTGAAACGTTCAGGTGCGAATGAATGCGCCCATTGACATCGGGCCACTTTTACTGGAGCCAGCGGGGGGTCGCGGGGCGTTGAATGCCGCGGACCGAGTGCTTTCGGCTTCCCGGCCTGTTTCGAGATCTAGTCGAGATCGCCGCGGCGGAAACTGGACTGGCCGGGATTTTCGGTGCACGGATCGGGGATCGAGTGACCGGCGCGACCGACAGGGGTTGAAAACAGATATGATATCGTTTCTGGTTCTTGGAACGGTCGCGGGGAACCGAAACAGAGCCATTACTGTTATCAGGTGTATCAGTTTCGGTTCTAGGTCCTTGGAACCGATGCTCTGTCGGTGCCATTAGGAATTGGCAGTGACAGCTTTCCATTGGGATCTAGGTTTTCGTGGTATAGACGCTTATTGGGTTCTGTTCGATGGCCAACGTATCTTGTTTTACTCTTCAATGTGGTGTTTAGATTATAGTATAGCATTGCAAGTAGGCAATAGAAGATTTTCGAATAGAATAGACACATGCTTTAAAAAGAGCAATTGCACGTAGCGGAATTGCTCTTTGACTTTCGTTTAACACTAAATTTACGAAGCCAACTCGATGGATATT